GATATTTGTTCTCACAGATTTTGTGTTATGCAGAAAGTTTAAAAATATTTTCTACGAGTACATTTTATATAACCTTTATTTAGTCTAATGGAGATATCATTTTCACTCTCATTTTTACTATATAAACAAGATATAGAAGGACTGTAATACACAAACATATGTTAGAATATGATAAAAACAACCAATCAGAGTGCTGGTGCTTTACTTTATTTTGATGTTCTACTTTCTTCAATACGTTTACCTGAGAGCTATGTATGAGTTAGTACATTATACTTTAGTTAGTATTTCAGAGATGCTCATCCATAAATGCCACAAATATCATCATTTACCCTTTGCTTTTTTTCTTTCCCATTTTCCTCCTTTCTTCCTTAGCTACTTCATTTTGTTCTTGTTTTCTTTAATTATTACTTATTTTTATTCCATGTTACATTTTCTTTCTTTCTTTCTTTCTTTCTTTCTTTCTTTCTTTCTTTTTACTTCCCTTTCTGTCCTTATTTGCTTATTACTTTCTGCTTCCTTACTGCCCTTTTTAACTTTGAAGTGTTTCCTTATGTTCTTTATTCTGTCATCCCTCCCTGCTTTTCTTTCTTTTTTTTTCTTTAACTGATTTTGAAGCAGAAAAGCCTCCAAACTAACATATGATAGAATTCTCCTCTTCAGTACACCACTGGATACTGCAGTACATTATTCTGCTGCTACCTTTACTTTATTTCCATTGTGGTATTGTTACCTTTATTTTCTTAAGGAAGGAAATCTGTTCTCCCTATGCCTCTGATGGAGATGACAAATTGTTTCATTAGTGTGTGTGTGTGTGTGTGTGTGTGTGTGTGTGTGTGTGTGTGTGTGTGTGTGTGTGTGTGTGTGTGTGTGTGTGTGTGTGTGTGTGTGTGTGTGTGTGTGTGTGTGTGTGTGTGTGAATGAGAAAGTGTGAGTTAATGGGTTTGGGGTTACATAAAAGGCAAGTTTAGACATGTCCTACATACATACAGCAGGGTGGAATAGAGAGGGCACATGTTTAATCGTACACACTAATACAATGATCAGATAAACATTAAAACAATATTGTCTGTGTTAGGTCGGAGATCATCTGGGTGTGTGTAACATGAAATGGATGGATGTGTGTGTGTGTGTGTGTGTGTGTGTGTGTGTGTGTGTCTGTGTTTCAGCAGTGGGAAGCCAGTATCTGTACATTTGTAATTACACTCAGGAAATGTTTATTCATGTTTGATTGGGTGGGACCAGCCGGGACTCTGGGTACATTTAAACAAACTATTTCGACATCCTGTTTAAAGTCGCTTTCGGGAGAAGCAGAGCAGAGAGAGAGAGAGAGAAAGAGAGAGAGAGAAAAAAAAAATCTGGCTGAGGTGGACCGCCGGCCACTTATGTAAGACCCGATCTTGAGGCCCCTTTAAACTGACACTGGAGAGGGGAAAAAGAAGCCAGAGGTCAGGTTTAAAAACATAGAGTGTGAATGTAGTCAGACCAGCCTCCAGCTGCTGTGGATGAACAGCTGGATTAACTTTGATAAATTCACGTCAAACGAATCAGAAGGAAGCAATGTTGAAGTCTCTGCAAGTGGGATAAGAAGGCAAAACGGACATGGCCACTAAAACAACTACTCCACCTAAAACCTATGTTTCAGTAACACTGACACGTGTAGGCTTGAAAAATTGGCTCTCAGGGGCGCACTGATGTGATTGGTAATGGCACCGATGCTGACTTTATTAGGCTGATTAAGTATGGGCTGGACATAACCAATTCACATTAAATCCACTTTACATCAGTTACATTTAAAAAGTTTCCAATTCAACTTTTAGCACCGTCATAATCTCTGGCCTCATGTTACCGTACTGAAAAAAAAACTTAATGAGTTCCATGCAGTGAGATACACAGACTCTAAATTTGGGAAAAAGAAGAAACTGGTATCAGATCAGCTCTCTGTGTCGGCAGATACCCTGAGTTGAGGTACTGGAATCAGTCTCAGTGGTGCATCCCTAATTGCTCTTAAATGTTTGCAGCTTGCTCCAATATGAAATTCAACTAAATTCCGAGTCTTTGCAAAAATTGCAAAAAGAGACTTCTCTGGATGTATGTATGTTCCAACTCTCCAAGCTCACATCAAAATATTAAGCAATCTTTACTGTTCATTCCAGTGAAAGATGCTTTCTATGCAGGCACCTGTTGTTTCTTAACTCACATTATGATATGGTCACCTCTGGCCCAAAAAAAAAAGAAGATGACCATAATGCTAAACTCCAGGCTTCAAAACGGTTGTCACTGTGGGTTCACACTAGGTCTTGTGTGTGCTACAAGTGTCAAGTAACGTGTATCAAATGATGGTACATCAGTGGTTCAGGGCAACACTGTTGGTCTGTGTTGCACTCTGAAGTCCTTCTCTGGCTTTTCAAATATTTAATTTACTCTTATTAGCTATAAAGTTTCCTGTCTGCTTATTTGATTCATACATTCATACAAGTTTTTGATAATGATTACATTTTGCAGCTTTGATCAACCTGCTTACAAATGATGCTCTTAGAGGGGAAATCATGGTCATGACTTAGCAGATCCTGTTGTTTATGTTTCCTTTGAGCCATCTCCGCTTTGATTGTTGTCATCAGAGAAAAGCAGGAAGAAAGTGCAGGATGACAGCAGTATTTTCTTGTAAATGACACTGTGAAGAAACAAGATTGTCGAAACCTTACCCAGATAGTTGTCTGTTTCATTCTTAATGATTGGTTAACTGTCTGTTTGGGAAACCACCTGCTTCCCTCCAGTTCTGTGTCATTTTTGATGAATACTGGAGATTCCAAAATATACTGTGACTGAGCAGTTTTTGGTTTGGTGTGTATAAATGATGCCTACGGGTAAGAGGATGACAGTAAAGGAAAGGGAGTATTGTTGAGAAAAATGAGAGATAAGATAAAAACAAACCTTATTTTTTTTCCCTTTTTTGTGCTTAGGTCAGCTGAAGGATTACACGTAGTATGTCCTCTACAGGCTGAGAAAGTTCTCTGGAACTTCCCAGATAATGTCAGAATGTTACTGAAGTGAAACAAAACAGTTTTCCCCAACAACTGCCATGCAATTCTTTTCTTAAGTGAAATAGAAAATCAATCCGTGTTCTATGATGGACTACGGCTTATGGCAGCTACAGCATACGCTCGGTTGTGTAACAAATGGCACTGAAGGCTTTTCGCTCTCCAATCAGATCAACAAACCATATAACATGGTCAAACCAACCGAACTCAATTGGGAGAAGTGAAAGCCAAATGGTTCATCCACCTGCCAAGTATTTTTTTAAAGTGCCTGTCCTTTTCCAAACAGTTTTCCCAGATGGTTCTGTGCAACAAACTATCTGCTTCTGTGTAACAAACCATCTGGAATAGTCAGGTTAAGGCTATGGCACAAATGAGATGTTTAAGAATCATGAATGATTCTTCCACTTCTGCTTTGCAGCTTAACAGGTAAAACTGCACTCTTTCTTCTTTGCCGTTCTTTTCATGGACAGGTGTCACAAGTGGTGAAGCAGGCTGAATTATGGGTGATTAGGGGAAGTGTACATCCATGTATGGCTAACTATGGAAGTGCAAATTGTTATGCACCCAGTTTCACAATGATTGACATTTACATAACAGAATTATGCATATACGTACGACTTTATGCATCTTATGAGAATAATACAGGCAAAATTTGGAGTAAATGTATGAAGTTTCTTTCCACCTACCCAGAATCCATTTCCACACTTCCTGTATCTGACATTCATTCTTTGTGTCTACAAACCTCACAACAATGGGGCTTCCTTAAATGTGCTGTGAACACAATGAGGCTTCAGGTCTGTGAACACACGGCACAGTGTGACATACATACACAGGTATAAATGGCTACATAGATACAGGGGTGGGAAGTAACCCAGTATTTGTACTGTATCTGTATCTGTAGTTGAGGATCTATTTTTTTTTGGACAGCTTTTACTTTTACTACCAACATTTTTACACAAATGACTTACAAAAAGATGTAATGACATAACAAGACGAAACAGACAAGACATCCTTTTTATAGATTTAGTTATCTTTGCTCAGAAACAGCCGGTAGAGACCAAGAGAGTATACACTGAGTACATTTCAGAGCCTATACTTTTTCACTTTTACTAGTATAAAGAAGTTAAATCAGTACATGTACTTCTACTTGAGTAAAGAAAACTTTTTCTGCCTCTGCATTTATGTAGTCCATACATACTGGTACATACATCCTGCATGTGTCACCTTAGCTGCTAGTGGTATGAACCCTGACAGCTCACACAATGGCTCAGAGGGACTGCTCCTCGTTTCTTATATAGGGAGCTGTTTATAATCACAACCACCCCCCCCAACACACACACACACACACACACACACACACATACACATATACACTCTCTCTCTCTCTCTCTCTCTCTCTCTCTCTCCCTCTCTTGCCCGCTCTTATTTCCTATATGAAGAAAGGGAGCTGGAATTCAGGAAGGGGGCCATTTTCCCCCCGCAGCCCATTTTCAGTACCAAGAGAATAGAACTCGGAGGGTGTGGTAGAGAGTGTGTTTTGTTTTTGCATGTATGTGTGTCACAGGAAGGGGTCTTATGGGAGTGGAGACATTAAATGTTGGTCATACAGCCATGTATTTTGTGCTTTTTTACACCGAGGGCAGTCTGTGAGACACAGGATCCTTATTAGTATGGAAGTATTTTATGTTGTCAAATGTGGATTCATTTTACACTCTACCTGCTTCATTAACACTCACACACTTTCAAATTGAGTTCAACTTAATATGTCTCAGTTAGAAGTAATATAATAGATATTTAAAAACTCAAGATACTCTCATGAGTGACAGTGGTGTTTCACACAAACAAAACACAAATGTCCACAAGTGTGTCAGATTTGGAGACCAGTTATGATGAGATCATTTGCAGAGGATTTTAGCTATGTATTAAATTAACCTGTAAAATGTCTTGTTCTGGTCTCTCCAGGACCGGTTGTTCTTCGTGATGGAGTACGTCAACGGAGGCGACCTGATGTTTCAGATACAGCGGTCGCGGAAGTTCGACGAGGCGCGATCCCGTTTTTACGCGGCTGAGGTCACGTCTGCTTTGATGTTCCTGCACCGACATGGCGTCATATACAGGTAACCATGCTCACAGCGTCGGCATCAAACCTTTAACATGTAACCATACAGTACGTATTCCTTCATTCATTCATTCAAGCTTCTATTGATCACTTTTTGGTAATGATTTATCCATTATGTGCTGAGTTACCACATTTGCTGCTCCTTTGCACCTTTCAGTTCCTTGCTCTATTCCCTTAAATTGTTTGATATACTGTGAAGCATGAACATTCTGCTTATTTGATTTAGTGCTTCCAGCCGAGATATGCGTCTCCATTACTGGTGTATATACAAGAATTCCTGGAAAAAAAGAAAATAAACATTAATTCCCAGCATTAATGAAGATAAATATTGTAGACTAAAGTGCTCTTTTCAGGAATGTGCACAGGACATGAACTAATCTTGTCATCCTTAGTTCTTTACTGTATGGCATAAATGTGCTACTTATTTGGCCTAAATCTTCCAGCTGAGAAACCTCTTTCCACAACGTTAAATGTTCCATACGTCTTAAATAAGAAGCTCTCATTGGTCTTGTGGTTGACCAGCAACGATCACCTCCCTCCTCTCCTTAATGTGGGTTTAAAACGTGTCCTTCAACGTCTATCCTAACGTGTCCTGGTTTGTCAGTCATGTGTAGTTTGTTTTCACAGAACAACTGACCGTATGGTGTGTGATCTTTGTTATGTACTGCTCACCCCTAAACTTGTCCGACAGCTTTTCAGTTGGTTTGACAGTTTAATGCATCAGTGAACTGCGGAGTGATGAACTCTCTAACCAGAACAAAAGCTAAACTGAAACTTGCACGTTGCATGTTGATTAATTTAAAAGAAACACCACACTGAAATCTAACTCAGCAACATACAGTGTTGTTTACATGACTTTATAGGCCGTTTTTGTGTGAATAACTTTGAGCTGCGTGTTTCTGTCACTTTCTGTCACTCCCCAACAACAATATACCTGCCTTAAGTTTTTATCTAGCGCCATCATCAGGTCACAATTTCAGTTTACTCAGTACTTTAATGTTTGATCAGATAATTGTAAAACTAAAGACATTCCCATTAGCCTCACCTGCCCTTTTGAAGTTAATGCTAATTAAAAAATGATTTTATGCTAACACGCTAAACTGAAATAGAGATCATGCTAAACAAACTTGCTTAACATCAAAATGTTGTTGTGCAGGGTTCCCATGCATCCTTTAAAACCTGGATAACCTGGAAATTATTTGGAAATTTATTAAAATGACCAAATATTCTTGAAATTAAGTATGTTGTCCTGGAAGTATGTTGTTATTGCATTTAAGTCCCTCATTCAGATTACACAATCCTAAGTTTGAAACTCAACTGTTGGTAGAATAAGACACTACAGTTACAGCTATAGAGCCAGTTAGGCTAATAGGTTAGAAGATCTACTTGATTTGAACTGTTGCTCCACTGAGGTCGCAGCGGTAAAATAGGCCAACACCACAAAAGTGTGTCCCATAAACACTGACCACCACTGTGAGCAAGGGCTGTCCTGTATTGTCAAGAAAAACCTCCTGGAAAATGATTACTTAAAAATAGTGGAAACCCTGGGGTGGATGGGGCCATCATCTACCACGCAGCAGAGAGTCTTTGTTGTCTTTCTGTGTAACAACAGGAATGTGATGGAACTTGAAAATCACCACTTCATCCAGGTGATGTGGTTGGTAAAACTTTATTAAGCTGAGTTTGGAGAGTTGGTTCAAATCCTTCAGGAAATTGACTGACAGAGAAATGGATCATTTGAACACAAAGGGATGTTTGTTTGTTGGGCAGTGTTCTTGTGTTCAGTCTTGATGAAAAACAGCTAAATATTTGAGTTACGTTAGTTATGAAACTCAAACTCGTTGACCCTGGAAGTGCTCTGTGTTCATCTGCAGGTCGAGATTACCTCACCGTCTTTCTACTTCAGGTACCGTTATTAGTCTGTGTGGACTCAAGTCATAATATTATTGTCAACCAATAGCAAACACCCAGCTGGTCCCACAAAAGCAACACGCTGCTCGTATCATAACACCATTGTGATGGACGGTAGCTCAGTGCAGGTTCGGGCTGTTCGCTCCCAGAAATAACTGCGATGGAAGAAAATTGACTTCTTCTTTCCGGTGTTTTCTCTTCATGAATCTGCAGCTTGATTTGGTGTTTATATTCTCTCGTCATGCAATGCGTGTGTTTGTGTGTGACTGTGTGTAGATGCAGTGTGTGTTCACGCCGTACCATCTGTGCCATGTTAGGATAGTGAGGGACTGTTGAGGCTGTGTGATTTTGTTTATGTCATTATGTTTCCTGTTTTATCCTCTCACCTCCAAGGTATTTACCACACACACACCTACACACACTTATAGTTAAACACCTTTTCACTGACATAATTAATTCCCTGTACCTTAACTGGACAGGGTTTCTGCTTTGACTCATCAAACTATGGTCATGAGAAACACCTATAATGCTTGCACCTGTTGTAACTGCGGTGCTATCTTTTTTTTTCTGAATGAAAATATTAGTTTTTGTTTTGCATAATTACAGAGCACTACCAAATAAATTTACAATGAATAAATAAGAACATGTGTGTAAAGAGAAAGCAATTTGAACAACTTGACCACGTATCGGATCAGTGAACACAGGATTGCTTTGATGAATTTTTGAACTCAGTATTTAAACCAGGTGCTTCGAAATGAAACATGATTGAACACATATTTTTGGTTGGATATTTTCTATTTTGGGCTACTTTGTAAGTGACTGTGATGGATAGTTGAGGAGAAAGTTGACATTTTCAGGACATCACCATGTTTTTCAACATGGCTGGTGTCAAAGACCAATGATAAATCAATGGCTCATTCGTCCAATGAGTGAAAGAGATAAATGTCAATCAGCTATTGTTTTTTTACAGCCTTTACATTTTTTTCCTTCCCGATACCGATTCTGATCAGACTTGGAACAACTCTTACGGCTGTCTCAAGCGAATGCCTTTCTGAGCTTTTCTGAAAACAATCAGGAAACTAAAACTGTGGGCGAACATTTTTATCACTGTACCTCAATAAAACTCTTCTTTGACTTTGAGGTACCTGAAAAATGAATCACATATTAATAAATAAGCAGGAATAGGTTAAAATGCATGGACCTCCCAGAAGTAGAAGCCAGTGATAGTTAAATGAATTGGTTATATTGTTCTGGATCAATTTCCCATAAATACAACTTTATTTAAAAGGCCTGTGCAAAAACACTACAGATTTTGTCGCCATCTTTGTTGCTCCATAACAAGGCATGTTTGTTCAACCAAAAGACAACCTACCTGTGTTGAAATTATATATTACAATAACAAATACTGCATTTATACGAGATTGTGGTTGTTTTGGGTGTATGTGTGAGTTTACTGCGGTGGCACAAACACATAGACATAACCACAGAATGAGGAAACAGGCCGGGAAGTGATCCAACATGAATAGTTGTTATGTGCCAGATATTGAATTGAAGTTGAACGTGACAGAAGATGATAAATTATTCTTCCACAATGTGTTTTCCTTCATTGATCACTCACTTTTTAAAAAATATATATTTCATTTTCCTAAAACATTATGCATGCGAACGCCGGGTGAACTCCAAAAAGACAAACAGAAACAGAGGTGGAAATTCATCTGTTAAATAAATAAGGGAGCTGAAAATTGGTTCTGTATAGTTACACAACAGTTGAAAGTGGCTTTAAACATACAAAGTTAATGTTAATTTAATGGTTTTTTGCCTCCAGACACCATGAAATATGACCATTATCAGCCAACTCAAATAACCCCAAAACAATAACATCTTGCCCAACACTAATCAGTGACTGTCATTGTGTTACGTCTTCACAAGAGCTGGTTAACCCACTGTAATCCAGGAAAGAAACCAAACTCCAATGTTTTGCAATTTCTTATAGTAAATACGGCACAAGAGCCTCAAATGTATTTGTCTAAAATGTGACTTACATAAGCAATGATAAAATTAAATGTAGTAAAACAAAAAATAACAAAAGCAGTGCTGTAAAAAACAGATTGGTGCATGTAAACACATTACCTTTTTTTTTTCAACAGGGCCACATTAACCAGTGAGAAGAGCACATATAAATAAATAAAAACACAAGGACGCATAGTTTGATTTTTAACTGTTAATTAAACTAATTATGTACAGAATACATAAAGTATAAAGCACAGATTTCCAGAACAAAGAGGATTGGATATCAATATGTAGAAACAACAGATTAAAAGTGCAGTATGCAATCATTTCATGAGTCGCAAAAGAGATGTTTAAAATTGCAGCGTGACACAGGATAAAACCACTAAAAGCTTACATAACTTACTTCCACAGTTTATAAACAGAGGATGTAAAACATGAATCTATAGTTTGTTCACCATCCTGTCTCGTTATTCAGTCATCTTGCCTACGTGATCTCAGAGCGAAGAATGTCCAGTCCTGCTGGTGCCTACTGGACTAGGACTCATTGTTTCACACGTTGTGTCACAATGGTTTTATTAATGAAGGGCGTTTGTAATAGTAAGATTTCAGCTGTGTGAATGTGTGTATGTGTTTCTTCGGGTTGGCACAATTTAATTCAAATCCAAATCAGTCATCAAGGTTAAAGCCAAAAGCTCTGAGCGTTATTGTGTTGTGTTTTTTTTTTATTGGTTTTGGCTTCATAACCACGTTTTAAAGTGATACTCCACCCAGAGACTGTCTCAGAGTCAAACACTTGCCTCTTGTAGTGAAAGGTGGCTGTAAGGAGTCTTTTAACACCAGAAAGTCTAGCAGACCCTAGACTCTGTTTTCTAGTAGTACTTGAGTATAGAGGCTGGGATCTGCTTGGATTCAAACCACTTTTAAATAACAAAAAATTCCAATTCATATCGTATTTATTTCCCAGTCACGCAAATGTTGAAATGTACGCTACTGGAGTATTTTTTTAAAGGTCATGTGACATCGTTGGCTCATTCCTGCTCACCTCCAAAAAGAATTCATTTTCATACTAAGGTTCAA